TGTTCCGCGGTCTCCTTGGAGTAGCCGTCTTCGTCCGCGTGTGCCTCTCACCTCCCAGCAGCTGCACGACTGGTACGGTCGCCGTCAGCGTCGCGCTTCTGCACCTCAGGGTTCTACTGCTGGGGGTTCTTCTGCTGGCGTCACTGGAGCTGAGAGTGGTGCTGGTCCTTTGCCTGCTGGAGGTGTTAGTGTCGCTGGTCCCGGAGGTGCTCGTACTGGGAGTGCTGGAGTTGCTGGGGCTGACGGTGGTGTGTCTGAGGGTGCTGCTGCTGGTGGCACAGCGGTTGGAGACCCTGGGACTGGAGGTGCCGGTTCTGGGGGTGCTGCACCAGGTTGGGCTGGTGCTGAGGGTTCTGGAGCTGCTGGAGGTGCTGGGGCTGCTGAGGGTACTGGAGCTGCTGGAGGAGCTGGAGCTGCTGGGGGTGCTGGAGCTGCTGAGGGTGCTGGTGGTGCTGGAGCTGCTGGAGGTGCTGGCGGTGCTGAGGGTGCTGGAGCTGCTGGTGCTGGAGGCACTGCACAGCCGCGCCTGTTCTTTGCTCCACCGTCTCCGTCGTCTCTGCCCCCGCCTAGCTCCGTGCTTCGCCAGGTTCTTAGCCTCCCGTCGTCTACTGGTCTTCCGTTACAGCCTGGCTCACCTCTGCCTGCTCCTTCTCCTTACGCTGAGCAGACCGGGGGCCTTGCTGAGCGTCGTGAGCCTGCGTCGCGTCCTGGTCGTTCCGGTCGTCGGGTTCCTCGTCAGCGTCAGCCGGCTGTCCCCGGCCCTTCCCTTGTCGTCCGTCGTCCTTCCTCTCCGCCGCCACGTGTTCCCCTGCCGTCTCCGCCTGCGTCCTCTCTACCTGTCGTTGCTGACCCTGAGTCTGACCGGTTTCGTGCTGAGCACCCTACTGTCACGCGTCTGCTAGCCACTGTTGTCGCCGACCCGTCGTTTGAGTCTGCTGGTGCGTCTGCCTTGGTCGCTGAGCTTGTCGACTTTGCTGCTCACTGTCGTCTAGACTACGCCGCTCGTCTTGTTGCTGAGTCTGAGTCTGTCTGTCCTCCGTCCGTCGGGGGTGAGTGTGCTCTTGGCACGGACGTCCTTGAGGACAGGCAGGAGGACCTTGAGTGTCTTGCAGCCGCTGCGCCTCATCTCGTGTCCATGCTGCTTGCCCCTGAGGGAGACCCGGATGCACCAGACATCCCGACTCCACGATCGTACGCTGAGGCGATCGAGGGTCCCTACTCCTCTCAGTGGTAGACAGCCATGGACGCAGAGATGGCATCCTGGAAGTCCACAGGCATGTACGTGGACGAGGTTCCCCCTCCTGGGGCGAACATCGTCAGTGGCATGTGGATTTTCAGGGTGAAGCGGCCGCCAGGTTCTCCACCGGTCTTCAAGGCTCGTTACGTTGCTCGAGGCTTCAGTCAGCGAGAGGGAGTTGACTTCTTCCAGACCTTCTCCCCCACCCCGAAGATGACTACTCTTCGGGTGCTGCTACACGTTGCCGCTCAGCGTGACTACGAGCTTCACTCTCTTGACTTCAGCACAGCTTTCTTGCAGGGCAGCCTGCACGAGGAGATCTGGCTGCGCCGTCCACCTGGCTTCACTGGATCGTTCCCTCCTGGTACCCAGTGGAGCCTCCGACGGCCAGTCTACGGTCTCCGCCAGGCGCCACGTGAGTGGCACGACACACTGAGGACGACTCTTGCGGCTCTTGGGTTTGCCCCGTCGACTGCTGACCCGTCGCTGTTTCTGCGCACCGACACTTCGCTGCCGCCGTTCTACATCCTCGTGTACGTCGACGACTTGGTCTTTGCCACTGCTGACACTGAGGCTCTTGCCCACGTGAAGTCGGAGCTGCAGAAGAGACACACGTGCACAGACCTGGGTGAGCTGACAAGCTATCTTGGCTTGCGGATCACCCGGGACAGAGCACGCCGCACCATCACACTGACTCAATCACACATGGTGCAGAAGGTCCTTCAGCGCTTCGGCTTCACCTGGTCCTCGGCACAGGCCACTCCTCTGGCTACAGGTCACTCGCTCTCAGCTCCACCTTCGGACGAGTCCGTAGAGCCGAGTGGTCCTTACCCAGAGTTAGTTGGCTGCCTCATGTACCTGATGACTTGCACTCGTCCTGACCTCGCGTACCCTCTTGGCCTTCTGGCTCGCTACGTGGCTCCTGGTCGGCACCGAAAGGTGCACATGGATGCTGCTAAGAGGGTACTGCGTTACTTGTGCAGTACGTCAGGCATGGGGCTCGTGCTTGGAGGGAGGCGCTCAGTTGTTCTCACTGGGCACTCAGACGCTTCTTGGGTTGACAACCAGGCTACTCAGCGGTCGTCACAGGGTTACACCTTCAGCCTTGGCTCTGGTTCAGTTTCTTGGCGTTCTACACGCTCGTCTTCAGTTCTCAGCTCCAGTTGTGAGGCTGAGATCTACGCCACAGCCATGGCTGCACAGGAGCTACGCTGGCTGACCTACCTGCTGACTGACTTGGGAGAGCGGCCTAGTGCTCCTCCAGTGCTGTACGTCGACAACAAGGCTGCCATTGCCTTGTGTGAGGAGCACAGACTGGAGCACAGAACGAAGCACATCGCTCTCCGTTACTTCCTGGCTCGAGAGCTGCAGCAGCGCGGTCAGCTTCGTCTGCGTTACGTGGCCACTCAGGCCAACACCGCTGATATATTCACCAAGGCACTTCAGCCTGGTGATCATCAGCGCTTTTGCACTATGCTGGGGCTTGTGCCCACTTTTCCTCACTTGCTGTAGGCTTTGTTTGTACTGTGATCTATATATATACCTGCATGCTTGCTCTAGTAGGTAGAGATCACTGTGCTGTTGTTGTTACATATATATCTCTGCATGTGAACTGGCCTTGTGGCCTTTGCTTGTGCTCAGACTGCGTGGTGACGTTGTGATCCACCCTGAGCTGTGTTTTGTTTCTTCTTTTGACTGGTCTTGTGACCGTTGCTTGCCCTGGCTATCCCCCATTTCGCCTATGGGGGTGTGTCAAATTATATATATATACCTGTTTAGGTTAGCTAGGCTGTATGGGGGTTAGCACTAGGGGGTACACAAAGTTCCTCGACACCCTAGTCTTGTACCCTACCCTTCACCTAATTCATGATTGCCTTAGGTTCTTAACACCCTCAGTCCCTCGGAATGCTCACAGAAAGTAAATTCATGACCAGAACAGCAGAGTGCATAGCCATTGAAAAATTGCCTCACTCCACCCCTCTCAGCGAATGCTCATTGCACTGGTGCTATCCTGGAACGCAAGCTTTTCAATCATCTCTATTTCCGCACTAAAATTTCCAACTCTTTGGGACTCCACCTCCTCGTCAATCCTCTCAGCCATCCTAGATGACACCTTCCCCATAAATTCCTTCCTGAGCGTCGTGAGCTCAGATACCACCTGGATCATGTCAGGACGAGACACGGTCGGCATGGCCGTGCAGCGCAGCGCCAGCTGCGCCATCCGCAGAATCAGATCTGCGGGAGCATCTAATCGTGGATCCTTCAGTTCCTCCGCTTTGCCGGCCGCAACTAATGTCTCCGCCTAGATGGGGATGGTTCACATGGGGGTTGCACTCAATACGGAGATTGACAATTCGATAAACAAATACAGTACCAATGGTGGAAGCACAGAGGTTGAATGGTAGCTGCTTCGCATGGAAGTAGTATTTTGCAAGGAGCAGACACACCAAACCCCCTCATATTCCCATTTCTTGACATAAAAATGTCATCTCACCCGTTTGTTGACGTTGAAATATATAAATGAGGAATTTTCCACAACCATCCCAAGTATTACAAAGGCCAACTCACAGATTTCCAGACGTATGGAAGCCAAAACACCAATTTCCCCTTTCTGAAATGGTCAACCCATTTATTTCCCCTTGCTGAATTGGTCAATTCACATATTTCCCCTTGCTGAAATGGTCAATTCACATATTTCCCCTTGCTGAAATGGTCAATTCACTTATTTCCCCTTGCTAAAATGGTCAACTCATTTTCCCAAGCGGAGAACATCGACTCACCCATTTCCTGATGTTAAAGTTGTTGCCGTTCTCATCCGCCTTGAGAGCGTTCTGGCCGGACAGTGTGGTCAGAATGAGGATGCCAAAGCTGAGGGGGTGGGGAGGTATGGAAAGGAGTGGAGAGCAGTAGGGTCAGCCCGAAAACCATCCGCCCTGGGAGCATTGTTGCCAGATATTGTGGCCAGAATGAGGATGCCAAATCTGGGGGATGGGGAGGCATGGAAAGGAGTGGAGAGCGGTACGGTCAGCTAAAAACACCATCTCCCTTGGGAGCATTGTTGCCCGATGTTGTGGTGAGAATGAGGATTCCAAATCTGGAGATTGGGGAGGTATGGAAGGGGAAGGAAAGTGGACAGGGTGGGAAGGTAGGGAAAGTAGTGGAGAGCAGTAGTTCAGTCGACTCAAAAGACTTTCCCATTAACTGCCTTGCGGCCGGACAGAGTGGTCAGAATGAGGATGCCAAAGATGAGGAGTGGGGAGGTATGAGATGGAGTGGAGGGCGGTAGGACAGCTAAAAAACCTCCCCTGAGTGCTTTGCGGCTGGAAAAAGTGGTCAGGATGAAGATGCCAAAGCTGGGAGGTGCCATTCGCTCAATACCACTTTCTACCATTCTGTACCTCTTTCTGCCACTCTGTAACGCTCAGCACTGGTCTGTACCCCACTCCATCGCTCTGTGACCTGTGAACATCAGCCATGGGGGGCTTGTTGGACTTGAATAGGCAGGGTCCACGTAGCCCGGTGTGCCCATCACTCCCTCCCACGCACCCACTTACAACACAATACCGGTTTGCACCACACTGCACCGCTCAATACACTGATGTACCGCACTGCACCTGTACACATCGGCCATGGGGGTGGCCTTGTTGGATTTGAAGTAAGCGGGGTCCACATAGCCGGGTGTGCCCATGATGCGAGTGTCCCCCACCGTTGTGCCCTCGTTCTGCCTCAGCAACCCAAAGTCTGCCACCTTGGCCTGGCGGGGTTAAGCGTGGGAGGTGGGAGGGCAAGGAACATGAGGCAGTAACCCAAAGTCTGCCACCTTGGCCAGGCGGGGTTAAGGGAGGGACATGCAGAGAAAGGGGTTTCGAGGCAATTTCAGGGAGGGGAGAAGAGGCAAGGGCAAGACACCTTGGCCTGGTGGGGTTTAGGGTGGAAAGTGCATTCAGGTCAGGGCACACATGTATCTTGCAAGGAAAGGTGCTTGCCGTGGGGAGAGGTGCTATGGGGAGAGGTGCTATGGGGAGAGGTGCTATGGGGAGGGCGGTAACCACAAGGAAAGTTGCCTCGAACGGCAGCAAGTCAGAAGCTAACCTCGATCTTGGACTCAAGGAGGATGGACGTTGGCGGGTTTGAGTCTAGGTCGCCCTGGGTGGAGTGCGGTGCTGCTGGGTGCATGTCGATGCCCCCCGGTGAGGGGAGAGAGAGGCGCTCATAAGCACAGAGAAGTTAAAGAGACCAGGATGCGGCGCTTATGACAAGAGAGAAATGGCAGAGAGACAGACAGCAGGGGCTGCCCTGCAAGGATGCGGCTCACCTCGAACTTGCCGTGGAGGAGGATGTTGGTGGGCTTGATGTCGCGGTGCACGATGCCCCCTGTCGAGGGCATAGAGTGGTGCGTATAGCGATAGGAAAATGTGGTATCCACAGAGGCCGAAGGGGCTCACCTCGAGCTTGTCATCGAGCAGGATGTTGGCGGGCTTGATGTCGCGGTGCACGATGCCAAAGCTGTGCAGATACTCGATCCCGTGGGCCGCCCCGATGAGCACCGCCACGCGCTGCGCCACCGGCAGCGGCTGTGCCGCCCCCTCCCCCACCCACCGGTCCAAGTCCCCACGACCCATGAACTCGTACACCACTATCTGCTCCATGCTCAGATCGCCCTGGGTGGAGTGCGGTGCTGGTGGGTGCATGTCGATGCAGTAGCCCAGCAGGCGGACGAGGTTGGGATGGTGCTTTGTTACCATGGCTGCCACCTGGAGTAAAAGAGGGAGGAAGCGGAGGAAGGGGAGCAGGGGTGCAGTGCGGTGCTGCTGGGTTCATGTGTACGCAGTAGCCCAGCAGGCGAAGGAGGTTGGGATGGTGCTTTGTCGCCATGGCTGCCACCTGGAGTAAGGAGGGAGGGATAAGTAGGAGGATTGTGGGAGTGCGGAATAGGGGAAAGAGAGGGAGTGACACACTGTTATTTTACAAAGGACCGTTTGAGAGACACAGGAACTCAGCAGCAGGGGTGCTGCAGGATACAGTGCGCTCACCTCTCTCTGAAAGGTCTTGGTGAGATGAGAACCCGAGCTACAGTGCTGCGGGTGCATACACGTGCCGCTGGGTGCGGTGTTGCTGGGTGCAGTGCACTCACCTCTCGTTGAGAGTCCTTGGCAAGACCGGGAGCCCTTTTCATGGCCCACAGCACAGAGGGGCCGAAGGGGCTGACACCCTTGACAATGGGCGCATGTGGTGCTGCTGGGTGCATATGAGGTGCTGCTAGGTGTGTACGAGGTGCTGCTGGGTGTATGTACGGTGCTGCTGGGTGCAGTGTGGTCACCCAAGGTAGTAAACACACCTCTCGTTGAAAGTCCTTGGTGAGGACTCGAGCCCTCTTCACGGCCCACAGCACAGAGGGGTCGAAGGGACTGACAGCCCTGTACACGTCACCAAAGCTGCCGCTGCCAATCCGGTTGCTCTCTGCCCAGTCACTGGTGGCCCGCGCCAGGTCAGCAAGGGCGAATTGCTGACAGACGGACGGAGGTGATTGGAAGGCTGCTGGTTGCTGCTGCTGCTGCTGCTGCTGCTGCTGTGGTGCCACGTTGGCATGCTGATGTGGCTGCTGCTGGTACATGCCACCTGGAATGCACGAGGAGGTGTCAAGATGAGGAGGGGGAACATGAGTGAAGGGAAAAGAGGTCGCTAGAGTCAACTTAACACACACATGGTGTGAGACATTAGATAGCAGCATGGAGTGCGGCATTTGAGGCACCTCAAAAGTCGCTTGAGTCAGCTTAACAAACTCGTGTTTGAGAAATTACATTCGGTAGTAGCATGGAGATCACAAGGGAGAACAGGGGGGAATGTGCGTTGTGGGTCCATGTTGTTAGGGGCGTCTCGAAAATTTACTTGTTTCACGTGCGTTGTGGATCCTGGGTCACAGGTCATGGAAGCTGGGGCGTAGATGGGTCATGGGACATGGGACGTGGACATGGGTCAAGGGTTATGGGCCATGGGCCATGGGGCATGGGGCATGGGGCATGGGCCATGGGGCATGGGGCATGGGCCATGGGCCATGGGGCATGGGGCATGGGGTCATGGGGCTTGGGGTCATGGGGCATGGGGTCATGGGTAATAGGCCATGTCACAGAGGGGTCAAGCGTACTCACTTCCCATGTGCATGGGGTCATGTGCATGGGGTCATGTGCATGGGGTGAATGACGCTTTTTGAGGCGTGTGAAAACCGTCTCGCATCATGCATGTCACAGAGGGGTCAAGCAAGCATACTCACTTCCCATGTACATGGGGTGAATGACGTTCATGGGTCATAAGTCATGTCACATGGCGCATGTCACAGAGGGGTCAAGCAAGCATACTCACTTCCCATGTACATGGGGTGAATGACGTTCCCGGATCCAGACCCAGACCCCATCCCCGCCTGAACCCTGCTGCCGCCCCATACGCCCCCCCTGCTGCCGCCCCATACGCCCCCCCTGCTGCCGCCCCATACGCCCCCCCTGCTGCCGCCCCATACGCCCCCCCTGCTGCCGCCCCATACGCCCCCCCTGCTGCCGCCCCATACGCCCCCCCTGCTGCCGCCCCATACGCCCCCCCGCTGCCGCCCCATACGCCCCCCCTGCTGCCGCCCCGTACGGGCCCCCTGCTCCCGCCCCATATGCCCCCCCTGCTGCTGCGGCTGCTGCTGCTGCTGCCCCATACGCTGCCACCCCTGCCCCTCCTGCCCCTCCTGCCCCTCCTGATCCCCCGTATCCCCCTGCCCCAGGGGCCGCCATGCCTTCCCCCCCGCCCCCCCCTCCACTCCCCCGAACGCCTCCCCCTCCGTCTCCGCCCCCCCCACCCGCATAATACGGGTTTGCATACCCCTTATTGGCCTCTGAATCAGCCCCTGCTGCTGCTGCTGCTGCCGCAGCTCCAGTATGCGCCTGGCCAGCGTTATCAGCCCCACTGGCCTTGTTCTTATGCCTGAACCAGAGGAAAAGACCGACCCCCACGACTAGTAGCACCAGCAGCAGCACCCCCACCACGATTCCTATCACTGCTCCCGTTGAGAGGCCGCTAGAGGAAGAGGAGGGGTAGGCATTGGAGGAGGACGGAGGGGGCGGGGAGGAAAAGTGGGATGGGGTGGAGTAAGAGGGGGAGGAGTAAGAGGGGGAGTAGGATGGGGCGGAGTAAGAGGGGGAGTAGGATGGGGCGGAGTAAGAGGGGGAGTAGGATGGGGCGGAGTAAGAGGGGGAGTAGGATGGGGCGGAGTAAGAGGGGGAGTAGGATGGGGCGGAGTAAGAGGGGGAGTAGGATGGGGCGGAGTAAGAGGGGGAGTAGGATGGGGTGGAGTAAGAGGGGGAGTAGGATGGGGCGGAGTAAGTGGGGGAGTAGGATGGGGAGGAATAAGAGGGGGAGTAGGATCGGGAGGAGTAAGAGGGGGAGTAAGAGGGGGAGTAGGATGGGGGGTAGGATGGGGAGGAGCTTGAAGCTGGGGAAAGTGGGGGAAAGGGGGTATACAAGTGGAGAGGCAGAGGGCAAGGGAGGACGGAAAAAGGGTGAGGAGGAAGGGCATTGGTTGGAGAGCAGAGAGAGCATGAGGGGGATGAAAGGAGAGCGGAGCGTAGAGGGGAGAAGAGAGGGGAGAGGACAAAACGAGAGGCAAAACTAGAGGGTGCATTGACTCGAACAGAGAAAAGAATAGCTGAATGGATGGAAGGCGGAGGTGGGACGGAGTGAGAGGCTGCACTAGGCAGCCAAAACAGAGATCGGGTTTGCTACCACCTCGCAGCGGCTGTGAGTGGTCATCCACGATATAGCATGAACATGAGAGGCGTATTACAACTGCATGCATATCCAGGAACACTTTTCCGGAAGAGAGCTCGTGAAGTTTCTTCACGTACTACGTAGCGAGTAGTTACATTGGACCCGTCTACACAGGTATGGTTACGCCTGGGTGTGGTTATGCCCGGCTGTGGTTACGCCCGGGTGTGGTTATGCCCGGCTGTGGTTACGCCCGGGTGTGGTTATGCCCGGCTGTGGTTACGCCCGGACGTGGTTACGCCCACCACATATAACCGCGTGGCAATAGCCTTGTACTCGTTATAGCACGCGTCTCAGTACAAACACTGTCCCAGCTGCACGAACTTAAAAACACATGTCTGCCGCGCAGAAACGGTTACGCCGGCCAGGTCAAATGAGGTGGTAATGGCCGCGTACCTGCTATTGCACGATCGTGTCTCTGTACAGTCACTGTCCCAGCTACAAATACACGGACTTACAAATACACGTCTGCCCAGCGATGTATTTGCCGGCCAAGGTGAGCGAGGTGGTGATGGGCTTGTACCCGCTATCGCACGAGCACGACCACACGTACTGAGTGTCCCAACTGCATGTGCCGTAGACACACGGGCTATCCTTACAAGGATTGTACGCTGGGAGTGGGGGTGGCATGATTTGGAAACGAAAGAGAGAGTTATTAGCACCAAGAATAGTTTTTGCGTCGATCCAAAAGGCAAGGCGTCTCAAATGTAAGTGTCCCAACTGCATGTGCTATCGTTACAAGAATTGGGAGTGGGGGTGGCATGATTTGGAGACAAGAAAAAAAGGCAAGAATAGTTTTTGCGTCGATCCAAAAGGCAAGGCGTGTCCCAACTGCATGTGCTATCGTTACAAGAGTTGTACGCTGGGAGTGGGGGTGGCATGACTTGGAGACAAGAAAATAAAAAAAATTCAAGTTATTAGTAGCACCGAGAACAGTTTTGCGTTGATTCAACAGGGCAAGGCGTCGTAAATGTAAGTGACCCAGTGGGGTTCGTAAAGGAAGCGTGAAAACAAGATATAGTAAGCCGGAAGAAAATCCATTGGGAGGACGCGGAATTAGAAGGCATATTGATTATGATCGGAAATTCTTGTAGCTTACAACTGAAGTTGAAGTAGAATGAAGTATACAGAAGAACTCAGAACCGCAGCGCCTGTTGAACGCTTCAATCAAGGGCCCTGTTCGACTGGCGCATCAGGCACAGGCTCGGGGACCGGCAACAGTAAAGTGTGCTCCCTCGAAGCTTCTGAGATAAGCGGACAAGTGTTGACTCGGGTCTGGGTTCAGCTGACTCGGGTCTGGGATAGGCGCATGAGCACCGAAGCGAACTGGTGCATGATGCCAGCCGAACACCCTTTTTGGCCCCAGGTTCGGGAACCGAATGTGCGTTCCCGGAACCCTCCTCTCCTGGCAAACCGATGCACCACTGATGCGCGCATGGTGCATCCGTGGAGAGCTAGCACCATGCGCGCACCAGCTGATGCGGGGCAGCACCAGCTGATGCGGGGCAGCATAACGTGCCCGCCAAGAATCATCCAGCGAGCTTTTCCCCGCACAAACGAACACTCCCTCCTCAAAAACGTTTGGTCCCGTCCCTGCAAGCGTGGGGGCAGCCCTGACATGTGTGAGGCAAAACAGCATGAAACTCAACATATACCTTCCGCGAGTTTGACAAACTTGACAGACCAATTGGGCTGTTTTGACAAACCCCAAACCACTACCACTCGTTTGAGCACCACACCCGAACCTGAGCTGGTACCCGAGCCTCACCACTGATGCGCCAGCCGAACAGGGCCAAGGTTTCATCGGACACTTCGAGCTCAACGCTTTCATTTCGCACCCCGAACTTGGTGGCGTGTTCTGCAATTCTTTAAAAAGCATCCTTTGACCGGCATGTCTATTTTATGCTCGAGCTGACAAACTTGGAAAGGCTTCTAGCCTCTGAGATAGTTGAACGGGCGAGAAAACATGTGATAAGCTATGGATAATAGAATAAAAATCGCCAAGTCTGGACAATGGTAGCAAGTCGTACCTTGTGACGAAACAGCCGTAATTTGCGCGGCGGTGAAAATGGCGGTTGCATACAAAACGATTGTTAATAGGCCTCGGCTCGCCCTAAGGCTGTGTATAGTTCCCGCATCCGCCATTGCGCCAAAGCCGAGTTCTTGGAGCGTCTTTTGGTCAGTCGCTGTCGTGAAGTCGCGCCAAGTCATTAGCTCAAACAAAAAGCGTGCCGCACGGGATTATGTCGACTTTCAGAGCTGACAAGCGGACGCAAATGGACGCGGCGATTATGTAACGAGAAATCCTAAGCGCTGATTTGAAATCAGCGCTTTAGTGAAGGAGAAATATCATGAATCGCAAAGTTCGTGTTGAGGGTCACATGTGTTTGAAGGAACGTCAACCAGAACGCCCAAAGCAAGCCAGAAACAGATTCTTGAGAATTAGACATGCATGGGAGTGTTGGCAGGGGAAGGGACGGGGGTGGCAGAGAAAAATCTCTCATTTGACCCGCGTTGACTTTCCTGATATCACTCCTCCAATTACAAGACCTCCTGGGTAGTGAGGCGGTCTTGCGATTCATAGCCTCATTACAGTCCGATGTATCGTAGTTTACCAGTTCGAAAGATTCTACGAATTCTAGACAACTCCTTTCCTGATCCGATAACACCAACATTTGAAATAACGCGTGCTGAGTTTGAATGGAAACCTTACATTTAATTATTGACCAGAGCAGAGCACAAAACCGTTGAAAATCTGCCTCCATTCCAACCCCTTCAGCGAATGCTCATTGCACTGGTGCTACCCTGAAACGCCAGCCTTTCAATCATCGCTATTTCCGCACTGAAATTCCCAACTCTCTGGGACTCCACCTCCTCATCAATCCTCTCAGCCATCCTAGATGACACCTTCCCCAGAAAACTCCTTCCTGAGCGCCGTGAGCTCAGATACCACCTGGATCATGTCAGGACGAGACACGGTCGGCATGCCCGTGCAGCGCAGCGCCAGCTGTGCCAACCGCAGAATCAAATCTGCCGGGACGTCCAATCGTGGGTCTTTTAATTCCTCCGCTTTGCCGGCCGCAACTAACGACTCCGCCTGATGGGAAGGGTTCACAAGAGGGAGTGGGGGAGAGAAGGAAAAGAGCCGGGAGGATGAGAGGTTGAATGGTGCCTGCTTGGCATGGAGGTTGAAACCACACAGGCGAGTTAACCACACAGGCGAGTTAATCACACAGGCGAGTTAATCACCCCAGTGAATCTACTTCACTCCAAAACTCCTCCTCCATATGTGCCTCAGAAATTCTTCAACCTCCCCCCTCTCCTTGTTGAAATAGCCAGATCACTTCTTTCTCCGAATCGCTCGTGAACTCACCCATTTCCTGACGTTGAAATTGTTGCCATTCTCATCCACTTTCAGTGCATTGTGGCCGGACATTGTGGTCAGAATGAGGATGCCAAAGCTGGGGGACGGGGAGGCATGGAAAGGAGTGGAGAGCGGTAGGGTCAATCCGAAAACTATCCGCCTTGAGAGCATGGTTGCCCGATATTGTGGCCAGAATGAGGATGCCAAAGCTGGCGGATGGGGAGGCATGGAAGGGGAAGGGAAGTGAACAGGGTGGGAAGGTACGGAAAGGAGCGGAGAGCGGTTGTTTAGTCGACTAAAAAAACTTTCCCATTGACTGCCTTGCGGCCTGACAGAGTGGTCAGGATGAGGATGCCAAAGCTGAGAGGTGCCGCTCGCTCAATACCGCTTTATACCATTCTGTACCTCTCTCCACCACTCTGTAACGGTTAGCACTGGTCTGTACCTCACTCCACCGCTCTGTGACCTGTGCACATCAGCCATGCGGGACTTGCTGGAGTTGAATAGGCAGGTTCCAGGTAGAACCGTGTGCCCATCACTCCCTCCCAAGCAATCCCTTGCAACACAATACCGGTTTGCACCATATTGCACTGCTCAATATGCAGCTGTACCGCACTCCACCGCTCTGTACCTGTAGAAATCGGCCATGGGAGTGGCCTCGTTGGATTTGAAATAAGCGGGTTTCCACATAGCCCGGTGTGCCAATCCATTGCACTCTTCCTCACAGGATAAGAACACTCTGTAACACACTGCACCACTCTGTACTGTACACATCGGCCATGGGGCTGGCCTTATTGGACTTGAAGTATGCGGAGTCGACACAGCCCGGTGTGCCTGCCACTTCCATGTACTCTCTTCCAGGGCAACACCAGTTTGCACTGCTCTGTACCGCTCAAATGTACCGGTGTACCACACTGCACTGCACTGCACCTGTACACATCGGCCATGGGGGTGGCCTTGTTGGATTTGAAGTAAGCGGGGTCCACATAGCCGGGTGTGCCCATGATGCGAGTGTCTCCCACCGTCGTGCCCTCGTTCTGCCTCAGCAACCCAAAGTCTGCCACCTTGGCCTGGCGGGGATAAGGGGGTGGTGTTGTTCAGGTGAGAGTGGGATACCATACAAGGCAAGGGGATGTGAGGTGAATGAGGTAAAGAAGGCTGGAGTAAGGGTGTGCCCATGCTGCGAGTGTCTCCCACTGTCGTTCCCTCATTCTGCCTCAACAACCCCAAGTCTTGTACTTTCGTCAGGTGCGGTTAAGGGAGGGAGGTGTGGTGGGATTGCATACAGGGCAAGGGGGTGTGGGGCGATTGAGGGAAGGGAGGTGGAGCAAGGGTGTGCCCATGATGCGAGTGTCTCCCAACATTTGTGCCCTCGTTCTGCCTCAGCAACCTAAAGCTGGCCACCTTGGCCTGGAAGGGGTGCTAGCCACTGTGGAAGGTGCTTATAACGACAAGGAGGAGAGTGTGCGAGAGAAATAAAGAGGGGCTGACCTCGAGCTTGTCATCGAGCAGGATGTTGGCGGGCTTGATGTCACGGTGCACGATGCCAAAGCGGTGCAGATACTCCAAGCCATGAGCCGTGCCGATGAGCACTGAGAGCCGCTCAGCTAAGCCCAGCGGCTGTGCTGCCCCCTCCCCCACCCACCGCTCCAAGTCCCCGTTGGCCATGAACTCGTACACTACAATTTGCTCCATGCTCAGGTCGCCGGTGGTGGAGTGCGGTGCTGCTGGGTGCATGTCGATGCAGTAGCCTAGAAGGCGGACGAGGTTGGGATGGTGCTTTGTCGCCATCGCTGCCACCTGGGGTGGGGGAGGGAGGAAAGGGAGACACAGAGGAAGGGGTGCAACGTGGTGGTGCTGGGTTCATGTGTACGCAGTAGCCGAGCAGGCGGACGAGGTTGGGATGGTGCTTTGTTGCCATGGCTGCCACCTGGAGTGGGAGAGAGGGGAGGGAGGGGAGGAAGGGGTACAGTGAGGTGCTGCTGGGTTCAGGTCCCCATGAGCCATCAACTCGTACACCACTATCTGCTCCATGCTCAGGTCGACCCTGCCCAGTGCTGCTGGGTTCATGTCGATGCAGTAGCCCATGGGAGTAGGGGTGCAGTGCGGTGCAGTGCGGTGCTCCATGCTCAGGTCGCCCCTGCCCAGTGCTGCTGGATTCATGTCGATGCAGTAGCCGAGTAGGCGGACCAGGTTGGGGTGGAGCTTAGTCGCCATGGCTGCTACCTGGAGTGGGGGAGGAAGGGAGGGGCGGAAGGGGAGTGGGGGTGCTGGGTTCATGTGGACACAGTAGCCCAGTAGGCGCACCAGGTTCGTGTGGACACAGTAGCCCAGTAGGCCCACCAGGTTCGTGTGGACACAGTAGCCCAGTAGGCGCACCAGGTTCGTGTGGACACAGTAGCCCAGTAGGCGCACCAGGTTCGTGTGGACACAGTAGCCCAGTAGGCGCACCAGGTTCGTGTGGACACAGTAGCCCAGTAGGCGCACCAGGTTCGTGTGGACACAGTAGCCCAGTAGGCGCACCAGGTTCGTGTGGACACAGTAGCCCAGTAGGCGCACCAGGTTTCGTGTGGACACAGTAGCCCAGTAGGCGCACCAGGTTCGTGTGGACACAGTAGCCCAGTAGGCGCACCAGGTTCGTGTGGACACAGTAGCCCAGTAGGCGCACCAGGTTCGTGTGGACACAGTAGCCCAGTAGGCGCACCAGGTTCGTGTGGTGCTTCATCGTCATGGCTGCGACTGGGAGATGGAGCGGGAGGAAGGGTAGTTTTGAGGCGCCTCAAAATTAGATTGCTGCGACCGGGAGAGGGAGCGGGAGAAAGGGGAGGAATGGGGGTCAGGAAGCGGGGGTGGATGAGAGTGGCATGGTGCTAACCGCTCACTTGGTTGCCACCGTGCTAACCACCCACCCAGGGCATTGGGCCGCTCACCTCTCTCTGGAAGCCCTTGGTGACAACGCGAGCTCGCTTCACAGTCCACAGCACAGAGGGATCGAAGGGACTGACATCCTTGACAATGGGCGCGTGTGGTGGTGCTGCTGGGTGCAGTGTGGTCATCCAAGGTAGTAAACATACCTCTCGTTGAAAGTCCTTTGTCAGCACCCGAGCTCGCTTCACAGCCCACAGCACAGAGGGATCGAAGGGACTCACGCCCCTGTACACGTCACCAAAGCTGCCGCTGCCAATCCGGTTGCCTCTCTGCCCAGCCACCCGTGGCCCGCGCCAGGTCAGCAAGGGCGAATTGCTGACAGACGGACGGAGGTGATTGGAAGGCTGCTGGTTGCTGCTGGTGCTGTGCCACGTTGGCATGCTGATGTGGCTGCTGCTGGTACATGCCACCTGGACGGACGTGACGTGAGGAGGGAAATACAGGAGGAGGTGGAAAATGAGTGAAGGGAAAAGAGGTCGCTTGAGTAAACCAAACAAAGCAAAGGTTTTAGACATTAGATGGTAGCATGGAGAGGGGAAGGAACTACTTTTGAGGCGCCTGAGAAGAGCTTGCTTGAATAAAGTTAACAAACTCATGGTGATGCTCCCCATGACATTAGATAGTAGCATGGAGAGGGGAAGGGAGAACAGTGGGAAGACTTTTGAGTCGACTCAAAAGTCACCTTGAGTAAACTGAACAAAGTCATGGTTTGAGACATAAGATGGTTGCATGGAGAGGGGAAGGGAGAACAGTGGGAATGTGCGTCGTGGATCCTGGGTCATAGGTCATAGATGGGGCATGGGACATGGTTCATGGGGCATGGGGCATAGTTCCCAGCGTATGGGCCATGGGTCATGATGCATGGCGCACAGAGGGATGAAGCATACTCACTTCCCATGTACATGGGGTGAATGACGTTCCCAGACCCAGACCCCATACCCGCCCAAGCCATGGATCATGATTCATGGCGCATGTCACAGAGGGATGAAGCATACTCACTTCCCATGTACATGGGGTGAATGACGTTCCCGGATCCAGACCCGGGTCCCATCCCCGCCTGAGGCCCTGCTGCTGCCGCATATCCCCCCCCTGCCGCCCCATACGATCCCGCTGCTCCTGCTGCTGCCGCCCCATATGCTGCTGCTCCTCCCCCTCCTGCCCCTCCCGATCCCCCGTATCCCCCTGCCACAGGAGCCGCCATGCCATTCCCCCCGCTCCCCCCTCCCCCACCTCCCCACCCCCCGCTCCCGCCTCCACTTCCCCCAAGGCCTCCCCCTCCGCCTCCGCCCCCCCCCGCCCGCATAATACGGGTTCGCATACCCCTTATTCGCCTCTAGATCAGCCCCTACTGCCGCAGTTCCCCCGTACGCCTGGCCAGGCTTATCGGCCCCACTGGCCTTGCTCTTGTGCCTGAACCAGAGGAAGAGACCGACTCCCCCGAGCAGCAGCAGCAGGCAGAGTCACGCCCACCACTATGCCTATGACTGCTCCTGTGGACAGACCCTTGGAGGAGGAAGAGGAGGAGGAGGAGTTGGTGGAAGGAGGGGGAGGTGGAGGAGTAGGATGGGGAGGAGTAGTAGGATGGGGAGGAGTAAGAAGGGGAGGAGTCTGAAGCTGGGGGAAAAGAGGGGGAAACGGAGGTGAGGGGGAGGGGAGGGTGGGAGGGGAGGAGGGGAGGGTGGGAGGGGGGGAAGGGGATACGGGAGACAGAGGACAAGGGAGAAACGAAAAAGGGTGAGGTAAGGGAGGGTAGTGAGGCGGAAGGGCATCGAGTGAAGAGCAGAGAATGCGTGAGAGGGGTTAAAAGAGAGGGGAGAGGAAAGAGGAGAGCAGAGAAGAGAAGGCAGAATGAGTGGTTTAATGAATCGTAGATGGGGTAAGCGGCTCGGACAGAGGATGGACATCGAAGAGGTGAGTCTTAGTAAGAGCGTGAAAAGGCGAGCGAAACAGAGGATGTGGCTTCCTCCCATCCTACAGCTATATGAATGGCCGTGCGCGATACAAGCACTAGCACGATCGTGACTCAGTACAGCCACTGTCCCGGATACACGACTTACACACACGTCTGTCCAGAGACGGTTACGCCGGCCAAGTTGAACGAGGCAGTGAAAACCGTGTACCCGCTATAGCACAAGCTCGTTTCAGTAAACAATCACTGTCCCAGGTACACGGACTTACAAACACACGTCTGCCCGGAGACGGTTATGCCGGCCAAGTCGAATGAGGTGGTGAAGGCCGCGTACCCGCTATAGCACGAGCACGTCCACGTGTACTGAGTGTCCCAGCTACACGTGCCGCCGACGCCACACGGGCTATCCGTACAAGGGTTGTACGCTGCGGGGGAAGCAACGGGAACAAGAGGAAGCTATTAGCACTGAATTTTTTTTTTTGTCGATTCAGAGAACCAGGGATTGGAAGTGCCGCAATGGGGCTGGTATAGTAAAGGATACGAGAAGATGACTTATAATCAAGGAAGAGCTTCTTCGGAAAAGCCGGAGGAACGGGATTTTGGAAGAAATACGGGATCGGAACTTTCTAAGCATATCATATGGTTTTTAAAAAAGAGAAGGAAACATACTGAAGAAACCCGGAATCGCAGCGAGCATAACACTTCAACCAGTGTTTCGTCAGACACTCGTAAATCAACGTTTTCATCGCAAACCCCGAGCTTAACGCTTTCATGCGATTTTTAAAACACAGAATTCGACCGGCATGTGATCCTGTTTTACGCACGAACTGACAAACAATTCTTAATCGACTCAAAAATATTCTGACCGGCATGTGACATTTCTTACGTTCGAAGTTACAAACTCGGGAAGGCTTCTGCCTCTGAGATACTTGAACGAGCGAGAAACAATAAGCTTTACCGAGTAGCGAAAAACGATAGCTAGTTACCTTGTGATGAAACTGTCTGTATTTGCGCAGCGATAAAAACGGCGGCTGCAAGCAAAATTATTGTTGAAAGCCGTCGGTTCATCCTAAAACCGTGTAAAGATGGCGCAGCCGTCATTTGCGCCGAGCCCGAGTTCCTAAAACAAAGGCTCGTCGTTCGGTCAGTTTGTCAAAGCGCGCCCTCAGAGCAGACTCTGCTTCGGAAGGAACGCCGTCAGCAGTGGACGGATCTCGTGGACTGTCAAAGCTGAAAAGCGGATGCAGCCGCACGCTATGATTAAACAACGGCTATGGCGGACAATAAATATTGCGAGGTTTATGTTGAGAAGTAAACGTGTTTGACGGGACGTCAGCTGGGGAAATCCCAAGCAAGCCAGAAACAGTTTTCTTGAAAATCAGAACTTGTCTGGAGGAGCCATAGTTAGAAGAGCAGGGGAGGAGGGGAGCCGCGAGGGAACAAAATGGGTGTGCTGTGCAGCAAAAGGGAGGCAGAAAGCGAGGGAGGGTGGGGTGAGGTGAGGTGGGGAGGGATATGGTGCGTACGGGAGGGAAGAGGAGTCCAGCACGGTAAGGAATCTCAAGGGGGGGCATGGGACAAGCGGGACACATTGGCAATGGCAGCAACCGCGCCGACCAATGGCAAAAGAGATGCGAAACCAATCTCGATGCGCTAGAAAGTATTGAGGTGTGCGATTTTACCGTTTTTTAACACTCATTAATCTTGATACCGAACAACCATTTTGAGTGTCAGTGCTCCCACCCCACCCGTGCTAAGTTAAACGAAGCTCTCAGCAACCCATAGAGAGCTGATCTCTGGCACTGACGATTCCTGTCCATGGTTCACAACCGTCGGGTGTTTCCGCATCAGCTGAAGAAGAGTGCATTTGGCCCTCTCGGTTCGGGGGTTACTGGTCGTTTCATGCCTCCCTCTGGGCTAAATCCTGTCTTGTAGGCTTTGAGGGTAACCACCTGACCACCCAGTAAATTGCAGGATTGCGTGGCGCTAACCCTAGTTTCGAAACGGAAAATCTCCCACGGTCGGAGAGTTCCCTACCAGAAAAAACATACGGTTTCGGAGATTGCGGTCCGCTGAGGAAATGACATTTTCCTGGAGGCTGTGTTGCAGCGATACCCTGATGCCAAAGCATTGATTCGTTATAGAAGACTGTAGTGCTATTAGACGTTTCGTTCCACCTCTAGTAGTAGCTTCATGTTTGAAGGTATGAATAATTTTCCATTCTCGTTACATTTTATATATATCCTGACAAATTAATATAAATAGTTCTTTATATTTTTTTATGTTGAAAACGTATACTATAAATGACCTGAAGCTGCTATGTGTTGATCATTTTGCAGAAGTATTTCTTATTTTCCTTCGGACATGGCGTTTAATGGTGAGGTCTCCTTTTATTACGACCCTAATGCCGAGTCTAATTGTAAATGGCGTTTTTGCGTTGCGAAATTTTCTGTCGACGGTTACATGTCACTTCTCCCCAAACAGTCTTCAGAGCGAATCACCGACAATTCTTTACACTCACGGTTGTCCTAGTTGGGCCGACGGCGGAAACATTTTCATGCCGAATCGCTTGTGCGACGATTTCAATCAATCACTTCGCAGGCGCGAATTTCATGAATCATGATAGACGTTGAAGCACCACTACCCACCCACCCAACTACCTCATTGCGAACAAATTTGCGGTCGCTCGCTAGTCCCGATTTTTTTTTTTTTCAATTCGACAAACGGACCAGACCGGACCGGACATGAGGACGTCACGAACCACAAATTGCTGGGGCTGCATTTCTCTTCCAACGGGCTTCTTTGAAATAGTGTAAACTGTACACGAATAACTTTCCGCATTCGGACCGTGTTTGTCGCCGCCGTTTCTTCTCGCCCAACGGGTGCTTCCCATCTCTCTTCGCTTTCCATCCAGCCTTTCGGACCATTTCGGCTGCCCCTCTTCATGACGCCCAACCACCCATCCCTTCTACGCGACGCCC